TTAAAAGCTGTTTTATACAGTAGGCAGCTGATGTTAGTTGAGCACGGGCTGAGTGGAGATGAGCCACATTGTGTCTGCTTTGCTTTGCTCCTGCAGGTACTGTGCCTTTCAGTGAAAGAGTTAAAGGAGCAATGGGAGGTTAAACATCTGTCTGCTGATTTTTTGAAGCACATGGCTGTGCCCTTCCACTTTACTGACACCTGAGATTATTAAACCTGAAAGAGCCATCAATGGGCCAGTCCTTTTTGTGCTAATGTGATGCCTTAGTGCTCAATATGTCTTTATTTGGACAAGGAAAATAAACTAGTTAGATTCATTGTATAGTTTTAATTCAGCTTCACCTTGGAGTTACAGTGCAGTCAGCTCTGCCTATCCTCTGAGGCATGTTTATTTTTGTGGGAAGAGATAGGGCTTCTGAAGAAGCCTGAAAAAGCCCAGATTTTTTTTTTTCCACGAAGCCTTATATTTTGCAAAGCCTTCATTATAAGCCCAATTGACCCACCAGTGGCCCTTTAAGAGGCATGTTGGCAGTTAATCTGTTCTGGTTTGCAGCATGTACATTGCTTTAAGAATGACTGGAATTCTAGGGGGAGGGAGGAGGGAAGCTTTGACCTCCGTGTGCACATGTGCTGCTGCCAGCATCCCCTTGCTCCTCTGTGTGATTGAATGGATAAATCAAAGAACACCAGCTCCTTTTCCAGCTCTCTCTGAAGTGAGTGAGGCGCTTTTTTTGTTTTGTTCACCAGTGGCCAGCATGGCTGAAATACTTCCAAGTGCAAGGGGGAAGGTTTCTACCAGTTATTTGGGTGTGGGAGCTGGTAGCCAGCCCAGTTGTTGTGTTCTTAATTGCCCTGCTTTCCCTTTCCCCAGATCTGAATGCATCAATAAGTTTGCCTCTGTCTTTGGGACCATGCCGCTAAAGGTGGTGGAGCACCGCGCTGACCCTGTCCTCTACAAAGATGACTTCCCTGAGAAACTGAAGAGCTTTCCCAATATTGGCAGCTTGTGAGGGCAGCTGTGAGACAAACCTGAGCGATGGAAGCAACAGCTGGGAAGGTGCTACGAGGAGTATAAGGCCCTGAAGACAAAAATGCCTAGAGAGTGGGTTGATCTGAGGGAGATGGGAACTGATGTTGTATCCTGGTATGTTGTCTTCCCTTTACATTGCACAAAGGTGTAATGGAAAGCTGAACAGCTGCAGTTCTGTTGCTCACAGAGGATCGAATCTGTCCATAGATTCTCCCCAGACTGTCAGACACACACTTTTCTCCAAAGGAGGCTGTGCACCTGGAGGAATAAAACAGAACCTTGCTCTCTGTGGTCTTACTGGCATGACTGAGCTCTTCTATCAGATGTGCTGCACCTCTCTGGTTAGTCAGCATCCATCCACTCAGGGCTGCTGTGTGCAGTGCAGAGCTGCTCTCTTTTGGGAGGAGCTTCTTGCCCATTTCACTCGTGGGCCTCTGTCTGTAGAGCTTTAACTGTTGGCTTAGGGAACTGTGTAACAAACATTTTCTTCTGCATTGTGATAAAAATGTTTATTTTTTTACAACATCACCCACCAAACCCTGCCTGTTCTTACAGGGTTTTAAAGAGCAAAGCGTTTTGTGTTGTTTAAATGATCGTGTTGGGATTGAGACTCAGCAGCTGGGAGGATGTTCTCCTTCCCAGCAGAGACTTGCAGGACAGAACTGCAACCGCTGCACCTCCTGCGTAAATCTCAGGTTTTCAAAACTGCTGCATCCATGTAAGGGACCTTGACTATGTCAAAACTAGTTGTATTATACAAAAAAACCAATTTATCTCTCAGTCTCCTTTTAGTTTTTATTTCATTATCAAACCAGCAGTCAGGTTACACTCTTACATTGTAGCTCCCCATAGGGAACAACAGCTCTGAGCTAAGTGTTTCACCTCTGAATCTTCTTCAGCAAAGTACATTGTTAAACTGATGTGTGAGACACCTAAATGTACAGAAATCCCCAGTTACAGCTCCAGTGTGCAAGGAGATGTGTTTGTACAAGACACTATTAACTCACACTTACAAACTGCTGCAAATTGCCATTGCTGGGAAAACTTCTGTCTATGCTTGTAATTTAAGGGACCCATTGCCACTAAAACATAAGGCTTAGGAAGGTCTTTGCATTTCTTAGGACCATTTGAATGGTTTCTTAATCCCAAAATTAACCTCAATGAGAAAACTAAATGCAGCAGAACTAGAAATAAAGTGGCCTGGACTGTTACTATTGTCTGTCAAGATTAAAGAGGATCCCAAGTTGGGCCAAGAAAGGAATCTCTTCTCTAGCTCCACTGACAAAATGTTTTTTACCAGATAAGGATGATTTCTCTGTCTTTGGAAACCTCCATAGCTGCCAGTTACATCCTACTTGATGGGCTGTTTTTCTCTTACACTGCAAGCAACCTTATGCCTCAGATTTGCCAAACTCCAAACAATAGGACAAGTGTTAGACATCACAGCTCACCCCCTCTCCTAAGCTGGATACGCAGCAATGACAGAAACCAAATGAAAGTCAGGCTAGAAACAGGAAACATCTGCTCCTATTTGTCTCACCCCCACTAAGACTTATCTTATTGCCCAATGTAGTGGATGTGCTGTGAATGAAAATCACATTGGAACAATAACTCTGAGGGGATGCTTCACTTCATAACTCCCCTGGGATGTGCCTGTAAACTGTATGGGCCGACTCTGGGAGCATTTCATTGCTAGTAAATGGTTTTCTCTGCAGTCTTTGTTTCATTCCTGAGCTGCTGTGGGAGGAGGGAGTATTGGGGAGCGAAGAGGAGGCTGTTGCAGTGACAACTCCTGTCTGCACAGTGGGTGTCACAAGAAAGAGGAAGGTTTGTTGCTCATTATTTATCCTTAGCAGCTTCTTGGGTTCATTCAAATGAACTTTTTTACTGAATCTTCCTGTTGATTTACGTCCTGGTGCTCGAGCAGCAGAAGATACCAGCGTATTTCCCTTAGGAAGTTTGTTCTGAGAGGGAAGCTGTGGCAGTGCAGTAGTCACTTCAGTTTTGGCTGTCCTTTGGGGGCTGATCTCAGCTTGGCAGGCCTGAGCAGTTAGCTGAGTTACAACATCTTCCTTACTGAGTTGTGAAGCTGCTGTGAGTTCTTGATTCTTGCACACTAAGCTAGTAAAAAGTGCATGATTTGCATAGAGTCTTAAAAGACACGGAGGATTTGAAATGATTGAATGTTTTTAGGTGTGGACAGCTGAACCAGCCCTCCTAAACTGATCTGTAGTCTCAGCTCAATGAAAAGGTAAGAGGTCCTTGTGTCTGCATCCAAAAGCATCTGAGGGGTTTCCCCTTGCACAGAATATCCAGTGACCCCTAACAATCATGTCTTACCCTTTGGCCTTTTACAGTTGCTTTTACAGGGCAAGCTCATTCAGGTGGTAATTTGTCTCTTATTTTGTGCCATGGAGAAAATTGGGCAATTGACTGTAAGGAAAGATTGTAAAATCACCTACTTCCCTCTGTGTTTATGATTGTGATGCTCTTGATGCAAAACCTGTAAAGGTAAGATGTACCTGTGTGTCTGATTTGGAATGGGTTTGATGTTGATCTTTAAGATCATTTTTAGCATTTCATTGTATATATGATATCAAAAAAGGTCAATAATTGTACATTAAAAAGTGAATCCAAGGAGTGTTTGTTGCATTTCACTTCTGGAGCAGCATGAGGAAGCATGGATGGATTTAAAGGGGAGAGCTGCAGTGACAGGCTGGTTTACTGCCTAAATCTGTGTTAAACTTGAATGTCCACAATGCACTTTGGAAAGATATGTCAATAGTTTGCTGTTCCCATAACTGGAGTTTGATGGTTGTCTTTGAAGCAGAAGTTTGCACGAGTTCATCCTGGACACCTTATGGGGCAAGTAGTTGTTACTCTAATTTTCTGCCAAGGTTTGACAGTAGCATTTATCTTGGAGAAATAGGGAACAGATCCTTTCTCTTTTGCAAAGAGAGACAGCAGCTGTTAAAGAACTGTGCTTTTGGGAAGAGAGCTTTGGCTGAGTCACTGAGGTTGTGGAATCCAGTGTGGTGGCAGCTCTGTGTCTCCAGAAGATCTGTGAGCATTGGCCAAAGGGCAGTGTGTGTCCATGGCACACCTTGCTCCTTGGGCATAACTCATGTGCTGCAGTGCTTGCCCTGCCAGTCATGGTGAGTCTTAAGGGTACATTTTTAGCATCACCAACTCTCCCTAAAATGTGTTGTCTTTCCTTCCTCACAGCTCCACTATTTCGTTACAGGATGTGCCAGTTCAGGCCTTAGTGCTCTGAATTACTCTCTCCTGCCATCTCCAGCTCCTGCTCCTGAACCTCCTGCCATCCATCATGCAGGTGCAGTTCAAATCCACTGCTGCAGTTCAAATATGCTTCACTCTGGCAACAAGTTTATCCCTGTTAATAATCAATTCAAGGGCCTCTTAAACTCACACAAAGAGGATTTAAGAGGTGCTCAGCACTTTGTGTTTAGGCTGTATTGGTGAGTGTTGAGCACTTTAGAAAAGTGCTATGCTGAGGCACATGAAAAAGGATTTAGGTGGTCAATTTTAATGGTAAAAATACCTTCAAAGATGCCTTGGGTACTTTTCACAGGTGGAGCATATTTTGATCAGGGAAGATCTCAGGATGGTTAACTGGTACTGCACAAATTTTCTATCTAGCCCTTTCACATGAAAGCTGCTGTCATAACAGGGCCAAAGCTCAGGGCCATGACAGGGAAGGAGAACTAAAACTGAAGGTGCTGATGAGAAAATGGATTTGAGATGCCCTAGCCAGAGATCAGACAGAGTGAATTCCTTCATTGTTCTTTTTGAAGACTTGCATATTTAAATTTTGCTAGGACTGCTGCAAAGTGTGCTCTTTTGTAAACTGAAATGTAAGCTGCAGGTAGTTCTTGTAGTCATTGATACTCTCCTCCATGTATGTGAATCGAGAAAAAATATCCTGCAAACTTGTGTTAGACTAAATCTATGCTAGACAGTGAGTATCCAACTGATCCAATTCCCAACTTCAGTCTGATCCCAAAGAGTTGGTAAGAGCAGAGCAAATCCCAGGCAAGTATCCCACCTGGATTGTCTTCTCATTTTAACTTCTAGGCTGGAAAAAATAATTTCTGTCCAAAATGGCCAGAAAACTCTGAACATGGTACTCTTTGCATCTTTTTGTAGGATCTGCAAGTTACCCCCATGAGCAGATAGTCATTTTGGACCTCTTGCTAACATTGATGTGTTGCAGAGATGGAATGTGCTTGGCAGAAAAATCTGCAACACTTTATACTGTTGGGTCATGAGTCCTTCAGTTGTATCTCATGCTGGTGGGAGTGCATGGGATGGGGCAAGTTCTTTTTATGATGCCTGCAACTGCTGCACTGAAGTGTAAGAGATTGAGCTTCATGGTGCTTCTGCATGGAATCAAACTCTTAGCTGTAGCTGCAGGTAAGGAGATGGAAGTTGTCCTACACCCAAGGCCTTAAGAGTAAGTGAGGGTAAAACCAGGACTGAACAGCAGTGTCCCAAGCCTGTGACTTAGCAGAACAGCCACACTTCTGGTTGAACTGCTGTTTGTTTGGAGTTCTGAGTAGCTCAACTCCAAGGCAGAGCCCATTAGCCTTGACTTTCAGTATCAGCATGCTCCAGCAGGCCCTGGCTTGAAGCCATTCAGTGACATTCCTGGTGCACTCTGTCTAATTTCAGCCTGATGGAAATGGCTGTAATGCAGTCCCACCTCTGCTGATCTTCAGGATTCCCCTGTCTGCAGCTTCTTGTGGTTGCTTTGAAAGTGAGTTATGTTTCCCATTAAAGGATAACAGCAACAATTGAGGCAATTAAGTGGACTGGCTTGGAGCAAGCAGCACACAGGGAGTTTTCCAGCTGAAAACAGTGTGGCTCAAAGGTTCTTCCTGCAAGACTGTCTGTTTGCTGTCTTCATTTGTCTGGAAAAGGATCCAGTAATTCTCCTTCAGATTTCCTTTACTCATTCTGAGTGCCTGTTTACTTGCATCAACAGGAAGTGCTCCTGCTTTAGACGAGGATGACAACTCTGCAGTGAGTGTGGGCAGAGATCAGTGCAACTTGGTCATGATTTCATTAGGTCTGTGAACTTGCATCAGTACCAGAC